AATTCTGACTGAGGCACCAAATGTAAATGCGGCACCATTTAAGATGGAACGAGAAAATTTGGAAGAGAAGCGACTTATCTTTGTGACTTTTTACTGTTTGACAGTCTCTTGTTGCAGATTTAACTCACCAGGAAACCAACTGCGCTGCTTATAAATGCGAATAACGCATCGTTGCTATGTGACCTGCAGTCTGCACGGCAATTCTCAGTCGTTGCGAAACAGGGCTTTCGCGCAATGCTGCACATGTCACGTCTCGAAGATATTTTACTGACACAGCGACTCCCATCGATAATCTTTTTATAATCGCATCGCAGCCCTCTGAATCGTAATCAAATCGAATCGTGAGGTGCCTAGAGATTCCCACCCCTAATATACACTATATGGACAAAAGTATTGGGACACCTACACATTACACCCACAGGAGCTTTTGTGACATCCCATTCTAAATCCATAGGCATTATTATGGAGTTGGTCTCCCCTCTTTGCAGCTATAACAGCTTCCACTCTTCTGGAAAGCTTTCTGTGTATCTGTGAGACTTTTTGCCCATTCATCCAGAAGAGCATTTGTGAGGTCAGACGCTGATGTTGGATGAGAGGGCCTGGCTCACAATCTCTGTTGTAGTTCATCCCAAAAGTGTTTGAGGGGTTGAGGTCAGGACTCTGTGTGGACCAGTCAAGTTGTTCCTCAGCAAGCCAAAATCTATTATAAGCTCACTTGCATTTTATTATGAAATGTTAAAATGAGTAAATTCATTACTTCTAAGCAGAGTTGGTTAGAATCCTTTAAAAAGTATTGTTGACTGAATCCTCAATACACTGTCCCAAATGTGTTCATTAACATGTTCCATTTAAATACATAAAATAGTAATGTATTCAGAATACATTTGGACAACATATTGATAAGGCACATAGGAATAACCTAGGAAAAGCTGCAGTAATTTTTATTTAATTTACAATGTTCCTCACTGTCAGTGGTTGCATGTAATTCCTCTGTTAATGTGTTTCTTAAAAAATTCACTTTTTAAAATAAAGTTATTTATTATTCCATCGCCTGCTTCAGTCCACTGCTGCTTCCATAATCCCCTGTTGCCTCATGGACTACTGGGCTATTACTTATCATAGTGGTTTAAAAACACAACATTCATATTTATTAAATCATCATAAACAGACCATTGTTTCAATATTTTTTTATATTAGCAATTATTTAGATTACATGCTTGAAGGGTATGCTGAAAATATTACAGTCATGATAATTGTGCCTCAAGGGGAGAAGGTTAGTTATTCAAATTATCAACGCAAATTTGTATAATTTTGTTTCTAAAGTAGGTAATCATTAAGATATATGATTTTTTTTGTGAGTAATCATAGAAACTACTTAAACACCCACTTGTCAATGCTGCTCATAATATATTGATAATGTAATATTTATAAGAAACACAAGGCTTTTTGACCTCATTTTGGGTAGAGTGGAAAGGAAACACAGTCTCCTCAATCTACTCTTGGGATTGCTGTTTCATGTTTATGTTGTAAATCCCAAATATCTTAATTTTAAAGTTACTCTGAAAGAGCTCAGAAGATGAAATCTGAGTCTTTTTGTTCTACAGCTTAATTTCTTATAGTGTTTGATTGTGAGCGATTTCTGACTCAGAACTGGACTGTTAAACTTAAAATTAACCTACAACTTAAAATGGAAGATGTTATTATATATTTTATCATATATATTTTTATTGAGAATGTTTTCTTAGGCTTTTAAAACATGACAGCACTTCAAGTTTGCCCTTATTGATTATGTTTTCTTTTTTATGTTCAGTAACAATATGTTCAGTAAAACAAAACACATACAGAGACTCACATGCTACATGATCTAAACTCCCCTTTGCAGAAATACATGCAGTTTTGTAAAAATAAACAAATAAGAAAATGTAGAAATAATAAAAATAAATGCAGTTAGTTGAATTGCAGAATCTTGGTCCGCTAAGAATTATTTGACTGATTAGTTAACTTAGAGGGAACAGAGTTTGTTAATGTATCAATTATGGTTCCCAGTTTAAATGTTTATTAGTGACACAAATGATTTATACTGGGCCTCTTGCCTCACCTCATTTGCATTAATAAAACTTTAAAACATGTCATGTTGTTATAGCTATACTTCCAACTCGTACTTAGCATGCAGCAAGCTGTGCATTATAAAGTGTTCCAATTCCTGTCGAAGCAAAATCATATAATGAACTCTTTTTGACTGCTACAGGACAGATACATCATTCAAAGCTCACTAAAATTTCCACAGACATGCACGCTTCTTCAGCTCATCCCTGTGAAATTATAAGGTTCTATCTGCCTTCAGACCAGTTTTGAGATGTTGAGCTTCAAGATTTTGCACTCCAAATAGCAAAACTGATATGTGGAACTTGTCTCTTTTATACATGAAAATGACACCCTAAGTGTGTTCTAAATGTGCAATATCAAAATCCTATCAGATTTGTAAATGAGTTTTTTGGAACAGGTCAAATGCAGATAGAACCTTCTTATCCTAAGAACTCATTTTCTGCTTGGAATTATAAGGTTCTATCTGGCAAAACATGAAAAGAAGCAATGATTTTCAAGGAACACGAACAGTTTACACATAATTTGTTTCAAAATATAAAATTAGTGTTGTAACTATAAGTGTGATATATGTAAATATGTATCAGACATTTAAATTTTATGCTTTTTCTGACATTTATTCTTCTTATTTATTTATTTTTAATGACATTTATTTATTATTTCTTATTCAAAAAAGCAAGGAAGTGTAGCAGGTCAGTCTAAAGGCAGTATGAGGTTTTGCTTTATATCATACATGTTGACTCTAGTGCACCAAAATGTCTTATTTTGGGAAAAAGAAGAAAAAGAAAAGATGGATGAATTAATTCAATTAATGTTAATGTTGTAATTAAGACCTCAACAATCAAATGTATGCTATTTAATTATGCGCTTATACATGATTAATATTTATAACATTTCAGACAGTAAGACTTTTTAAAGAACTGCAAAAAGACAGGCAGTGTTTCAGCAAGATGTTTTCATGTTTCATAAACTTTTCCTGCAGTCACTGAGCAGTGCAGCAACATGATAAAGAAGCAGATTGGTCCTCTTGTGTGTATTTGAAGTGCTGATTTTCTCGCAGATAGAACCTTATAGAGCTAAGTTAGAGTTTGACTTTGGAGATAGAACCTTTTTGTTTTCTAGATAAAGACTCCAAAACTGTATACAATTTAAAACACTTCACATAATGTTAACAAGAATAAGAATATGTGAACAACTTCATTTTGACAAAAATATCAAATAGAACCTTATGATTCCAAGGGGACAAGCTGTAGAAAAGAAATCAGTTGTGGAAAAATTGAGATATTGTGGTTTCAATTTGTACCTCATCCAAGCTGAACGATAGAAAAGGAGGCTAGAGAGTGTTTGTACAGCATGCACAGCAGGCACTAAAGCACAGTCTGTTTCAGCTTTACTTTCAAGCTACATTTCAGTGGATAGGAGGACCTGACATCTTTGCATAATAACAGAGGTTATGTTGCGCTATTGACTTAAAACTCATAAACACAGTGGTTTAGATAGCTCCATCGCATGATTTCCTTTTGATAACTGCAGTTGCTGTAGCATAAGTTTCCGTTCTATTAACAACTCTAGCATATCTTGATAACCTGCTTTTACCTCCAAAAAACTGTGTGATACTGTGTCTTCCCTGTTTTTGCTGTTCTTTGTTCATTTATTCCTGGCTTTTTTTGAAAGCCCGATTTGTGTTTTTGGCAGCATCTTCATTTGAATTAAAGATGTTCTTCTTATAGACTGTGACTAGGCAAAACAACTGAACATTCACACTGGGGGTGTGAAAGAATGCAGGATGCATTGTTTTTAGCACAGTGTCTAAAATTTGTCTTATTATTACATTATTATTTAATGAATGAAGCTATCAGGAATTTCATTAAGCCTAAAAATCACAGGCAAACAATTGCAATCATCCTAATCCTAACTGATATTAATTTATCATTTATATTTATGTGGGCTTTCCCCCTATACCTTGCAGAAGTGGTGTCAAGCTGTCATGTAAGCTCAAATGATTGCCACTCCATTATTTAGTACACATACTTTATAAACCCTTTATCAGCCTCCTAGCAGGAGCATATGTTCAATCTTGTCATGTTTATTGTAACACAGTGAGTTCATCCATCACCATGTGTCAACACCTCTAAGGGCAGTAGTACAAGTATGCTGATCAACAGCACACAGGCGGTGTTGATATCACCAGAAAGTCAGGGGAACAGAATGTACATAACAGCCCATGGCACTGGCTTTTTTTGTGATTTGGTTTTTGTCTCCTAGTACTTTTTCTTCTATTTCCCCAGGTTTCTCTGTAATTGAGTTAGCTCTGTCTGAAGGAAAATATCCGCAAACCTCCACCAAAATCCACAGACAGATCAATGTATGCAATGAATGGAAGCAGTATAAAAGTAAACTCATTTGGTTTGAGTCTATGTCAGTGTGCCTGAAGTAAATTGTTGTCCGTGGTAGTTTGCCTGAAATGACAGTATTCCTGATGTGGTCATAGATTGGGAAGTAGCAGACTGTTTTATTACACAAAATGCTGTCTGTAACAGGATATGTGTAATGCAAATTATACCTCCGCAAAAAGAAGAACAGCCCAGAGTGCACAAACCAACTGATTTTTTATGGTATCATGGCCTGTAGGCATTGCATTCTAGGAACTGGGCACTACCGTAATAGGCAATACTGCAAAAGGCAAGACAGATAAAGTCTTGGCCACTGTGCATGACTTAATCAATTCCACACTGAGGTAAGAGTCTGCTCCGCACACGCTGAGCTCGCTCTAAAACCTGACCATATGGGAGAGTGGTCTGGGTCAGAACGAACAGACAGTCCAAGAGCAGGTTCTAGTTGCCAAGTCTACAGCACAGGGTATTGACCGAAAACTGTTGCTTTTGCTGCTATTGCAGGGATAGAAGACTGGCTGCAGCAGGAAGAGCCCGGGGCAGGCCAAGATGACTGGCATCTCCTTCCTCAGGAGGAAGGACAAAGGGAGAGGAGGAGAATAGCCCAGAGGAAGAACAGAAGTTAATGCAGGAAAACTTCTCCCACCTTCAGATGGATCATCACATCTTCAGATCTTTATGGTTTTGGAGTTACCCAACTTAGCAGTTAGTCTAGTGAATGGCACCCAACAGCGAATACATCAGTTTCCTTCAGCTCAAATTCAGCATATAATTAGCAGAGTAAAATCTCAAGAGCAAAGCACGAGTGGCTTAATAGTTCCCTTTTCTTTCATTCTGTCCATCAAACTCTGGACTCCAAGATGAAGTTTGATAAAACGGCTAATGCTTCACAAAAGACAGTGGTAAATTCAATAGTGTCAATCTTCATCCTTTCAAGGATGGTTTCAGAAAATATCTGGCATAAATGTGGTGTTAGCGTGGATAATTAGAAGGAAAGAAACATAAGTATCGTAATATTAATGTGGATTCCAGTTGTGTAAGGCCGCATTATCGTTTAGCTGGCAGGAGAATTACAGAAGCATCATACAATTTCGTTCTATTTGTCTATCATCTCTGCCTCACTCAACAAAATGATGAAAGGTTTTCTGTTTAACTGCAGGAGACAATTACTGAACCTGGGTTCATTTTCAAAGCTTTGAATACTATTACACAGACATCAAATTGCTGCAGACTGCAGATGAGAGCGACACCTTGTCTCCTTCTTCACTTTGCTGAAACCCCCCCAAGGCCTGAGGCTGACAGCAGCTGAGCGTGCCACTGACCTCTGAACTGACCCCAGATCAGTATTCTATCTACATTTCAGCTTGAACCCTTCAGAGAGAGACGATGATGATGGCTGCTCACTTTCTTAAAACATTTGCAAGCGTGGGTCCAAGCAAAACATTAGCACAAACATCAGTGGAGTGACCAATAGCCAACTGTGACTTATGTGTCTGCTTATATTATAATTAACACAACTCTTTTACACATTTAGATGAATATATGTATCAAAATGTTGACAAGGTTTCTTGTTTTCCGAGAGATGTGATGTGCTCTGTCATAATTTTCATGAAGAGAGCATGAATTCTTTGATTTGCGTCAATTCAAAAAAAAGAAAAAACAGTCAACGTGAGTGGTTTTGTTTGTAAATATTGTGGTATTTCGTTGTTATCGTTAACACACATTGTTTACATTAAAGCAAGCAGCCTCTATCAATGTCCTACAAAATGTCGCAAAATAAAATGTTCTAAGTTGCTTATTTTCCCACAGCTCATTATGCTCTTCAACTTCAAGCAGTGAATGAAGAATTTTCCTTCCTCTCATGTGTAAATCAGAAATCTGTCTTCTATAAAGCGAGATGCTTCTCTTCAAGACTGATTTCATTTCCTCACTGGAGCACCGTCAGCCTCCAAATGACTGAAACAGGCCACATACTGGTCTGCTTTTTAACATGTTAATTTATTTCTAATGAAAACATATTCATGGTGGACACATATTTTGGACTGGGGTCCAGAGTGCAAACTGAATAAGCCTGCTTTTCTTATTAGGTTAAAGGGAGTTGGACGTGCAGTGCTGAGACTGTAAATACACCTTTTCTCAATAAAGCTTTACATTTTGCGCAGGCCACACATGCACACCTTTCCATGTCTTGTTTTGTGTCTTTGCATACACTGATCAGCTATAGCAAATAAAACCACCTCAACACTCATTGTTGATTTTATCAGCTCTACTTACCATATAGGTGCACTTTGTAGTTCTACAATTACTTAGACTGTAGTCCGTCTAATTCTCCACATACTTTGTTAGCCCCTTTCCACCCTGTTCTTCAATGGACAGGAGCCCCACCTGACCACTAGAGAAAGTATTATTTTAGTGGTGGATCATTCTCAGCACTGCAGTGACACTTATGTGCTGGTGGCGTGTTAGTATGTGTTGTGCTGGTACAAGTTACAAGGTACAAGATCAGACACAGCAGTGCTGCTGGAGTTTTTAAACACTGTCCACTCACTGTACACTCTATTAGACACACCTACCTTGTTGGTCCACTTTGTGGATGTAAAGTCTGAAACAGTAGCTCATCTATTGCTGCACAGTTTGTGTTGGTCATCCTCTAGTCCTTAATCAGTGGTCACAGGGACGCTGCCCCCAGGACGGTGGATGTTTTTGGTTGGTGGACTATTCTCAGTCCAGCAGTGACACTGAGGTGTTTAAAAACTAAAGCAGCACTGATTCACTTGTACCAGTGCAACACACACTTACACAGCATTTGCTCACTTTACCTATTTTCCCCTTCCTTATGCAAGTGGATTATCTTATATCAGGCAGATATATGCAGAGATATGTTCTGAAACATACTAATACAAATTGCCATTCTGACAGAAAATTAACTTAACTTAAAATCTCAGGCTTATTACATACTGAGGCTTATTATTCAGCAACTACAGGGATTTCAATGCAAACTGGCTGAGCTGTTCTTAGGTCTATGTACAGTTTCATTTTCCCCATAAAATCAAATATACCTTGCATTTGCTGTCATATCTCTACAATGGAAACTTTATAGGAGAAGGGTGTTGCTCTGATATGAGTGTATGAGACACAATAGTGTTGCTGGGATTTTTCAACATTTCTGTTTCACTGCTGTACTGAGAATGATCCACCATCCAAATGATATCTGGTCAGCGATGCAAATGGGCTACGGTCAGTAACCGTAAAACTACAAAGTGTACTCATCTGGTTGAAGTCCCTGACTAAATACCCAATGAGTTTAGATGTATCTAATTATGCTACCGGAATTATACTACCATTACTACATTTTGAGGGGGATTCAAAGGGGTTGCAGGGTTGAGCTCCACATGTGAGTTTGCACTAAAAATTGCAAGCCCCTTCCCATGTGTGCTCAGCCTATACATAAAATTCATTCAATTTCACACTAGACTAGACTAGACGACCAAGATGGTCCTGATATCTCTCAAATTCAGTCAGGGAACAGTTGGTAAGGTTACAGATTTGTCATCACCCTTTCTACTGCCTGCAGCAGTGCAGAGCTGAGATTCTACTGCACACTAAAGTTCATCTGATTAGTAACCCAAAATTCAGTGTAGGTACGAAAGCTGTGCTGTGCAATGCAATTGGGTCAAAAATCACAAAGCAGGTTAATCAAACGGACAAGAACTGATGTGTCGAAATACAGACCTAAACAAATGTTCACTTTGTTTTTCTAAATGAGTGGTGGTCCTCTGAGTCTAACTAGTCTTGGAGAGCCAATAAGTACAGCATCAGTTTGTTTGTGTATAACAAAGTGATGAAAAATACCTCATGTATTAAGAGATTTGAAGTTTGATTATAATTACCTTAACAACGTATCATAGACATCAAAGGACAGCGATTTATCAGAAGTTGTGCTTTGAATGGTGCTACTTCCTTCACACTGAGGCTGATGAATAAGCTGTGCTTCATGGATGGAAGCATGTGGTGCGTATTAGCATCTCCTCCCGCTGGGCTTCTGTGCTGCTAAGGGTGGATAGATGATTAGAAAGGGGCATCGTGGGCGCAGCATCATGAGTCTAATTGGTCACGCTGGGGAATTCACAGGCTCCTCTATGATGCTCAGCTGAAAACTGAGCATACTAAGTTGCTGTTGAGCAGTAAAGTCTTCAATTAGAATAAGATGTGTAGTGCAGATTTTAGATATCCACTGGATTAAATCAACAGTAACACCTCATTTTAATTAGTCAGCTGCACAGTTTTCAACATTTCTGAGTAATTTGCATGAAAACTGATGTTAGAATGAGATGTGTGCACTTTGTATTTTTTCAGGAAAAGTAATAATTCTAAGTAATTGTGTCCAGAAAAAGCAATAGGAAATGAAATGCGCACAAGTTGACCATTGTTCCCCTATACATTTAATTTTAGCCACTTCAATCTAGGAATATTAAATGTAGATTGTACTTCTGTCAAACTCAAAGAGCTCATTCAAGGCTATATAATAACATTTGCCATAGAGAAGAATGAGCAGAAATTACATTTAAAAAAAAGAGTCGGGGTGATGTGGAAAATTGATCATTATATCTTTAATTTGCCAATCAAATGGGTGCTCACAGTTTCGTGGAAATAATGGTTGTTCATTCCTAGTGCCTGTCAGAGTAAAGAGTAGAGTGATTTTTCTTTAGCTGATGACTTAAGTTCATTTCACTATTCAGATTATTTTACATCCTGTTATTGTCAGAGATAGAACACATAGGCTGCTTCAAAGAAGACTTTTTGGCTATTTCACTCGCTTCTTCATGACGGATGAAAACAATATGGGTTTTCTATCATTTATAGTGAGGGGCTGCTAAACAAATAGCAAACTATGCCCCGTACTGTTTTAATATTGCTTTCTATATTGCATTGGGCTTATTTTTTACCACTACAATAATGAGCCAAGAGCCAAAGTGATGTAGCAAGTAATTATTTCAGATCCAGAACTCAGAACATTCACCATAACAAGGATGTCATTTTACAGCCCCATGTGAAGGAAGACTTCGTCCTATAAAAAGCATGAGCTCATCAAAAAATCTGTTTGGAATTAAGGCTGGCATAAAGGACAGTTCATCTTTTGGTTACCACATCATCATATGCCGTGCCTGACTTTCTAATCCTGGCTTTCATTTTTCATCATCTTGCTTTCCTGGTTTCAAAGTGGCAGCCTTTATGATTGGAATTGAAATGAAGCTTTCTAAATGTTCTGCAAACCTGTCATCACCTGGGGAGATGGTCCAGAAAATCCATCAAGAAGATGTTCAAATGGCAGCTTCCAAGTGACTCTGACTGTCTTGAATTTGCAAATGATATTTGGTATTTACCATTAGTATGGGCTTGCAAGAGATTTTAATAATACATATTCTGTTCTGCCTAATTAAGCTCACAGTGTATTCATCCACAAATTTCAAGCAAGCTCTCTTAATTCATAAGCATAAAACTGCTTCTAAGGTCTGGATATATTTATCTCTCTTCGCTTCAAAAGAAATTAAATGCATTGAATGACTCTTTGTTGCCTGTGAACCCACTGCATCGGCTTTAGTTCATTCAGTCAACAAGGATGAATCACAGTCCCAGCAGGTTAGAAGTGATTGTAATAATCGCTATCATAAAATATCTCCCTCTCTAGAAACAGTGAAATGATTTCTCATGAGATTTCCACAAAATCAGGAAAACAATGACATTGAAAATGACAGTATTCTGATGGCTTTGCGTGGGGAGCAATCCTAGCATGCCCTTTGCCGCAAAAAAAAGTATGTGAAATGTTATGTTGAAAACAATGAGCTTCTTGTAAACTAATGAATGCCTAGAGGTTTTGTAGATAGCAGCTTAATTTCCTGAAAGGCTTGCATTGTAATTTCTCCCACAGGAGAGCCACTAAGCCTTAATAGACTTCCTTCTCCATTAACAGGAGTCTAAATTTCACCCAGCACTGCAAATGAATTGCTTGGCCAGTTGTCCATTTCCAGCTGAGGATTTGCCCTGTGATGCACTTCAGGGTTCACCCCCTAAATCAATCTTGACCAGCAGAATTTCTTCAAGACTTGGCCACAGGATTACCAAGCAGTTGCGGTAATGATTGTAAGTGAGTGGAGCAGACAATCACAGCTTGTTAAAGCTGACGCAAAATCAATAAACATGTTAACAGAAGTTAATTGATTATTGTTTTTCAGTCTGATTCCACTTGAAGACATTGGTCATCTCACATTCCATCACATCACGCTTAAGCCTTTAAAGTCACCTAATTATAGCACATTGCCATTTGTCATTTTCCACACAAAACCATTTAGCTACTGCAAGTGTGTGCATGCAAATGCTGTCCTGCCATGAAGTAAACTTTCCATGATAGGGGCCCAACCTTCGTAATAACCCTACCCTAATAAGTGAATCATGGGAACAGCTTAACCCTTAAAATCCCAGGCTTATTACATACTAAGGTTTATTATTCAGTAACTACAGAGACTTCATTACAAAAGTGGTTGAGCTGTTATTAGGTTGTAGAAGTGTGTAATAAAACTTTGGGCCCCCTGGCAGGCCATGACCATGGAGTTAATTGACATTGACAGCTGTGCTAATGTTGAGAGAGAGAGAATCATTTAAATGTGATTGGGTGACCTCAAGAAGGATTTCTCAGGAAGGTTAATGTTAAATATTGCTGTCACACACATATTCCTCATATCTTTGCTCTGCTTTTTTTGCACTGTGTCTATCAAAACATTGGCCAGTCAATTAGTCTTTGTAACTGAAGCAGCTCCTGCCATTAGTGTCCCAATAATGAGCACTCTTTTAAAATCACTAAGATCTTTTCCTCTTTCCATGTCGAGCCTCTGAAGGAAGGGTCTGCTCAGCATTTCAATACATGCCACAGAGAATGATAAGATGATAACAGATTAATCTCATCATATAGTACACCTGTCTGGAAGCATCTGCACTCGGTACGTTGCTCCATTCATTTCTTTAGGTTTTTACATTACATCCGTCTGTTAAATTATTATTGTGTTACTAAAATTCCAAGGTTTGTATTTTCAAAGACTGAACTTTGAGACTGTATTCACATTCCTATTTCCATATATATAGTCATTTTGACAAGTCCAATTTTGTTCTGC